GAGCCGCCGTCCGGCCTCCTCCTTTTGGGGGCCTTACCGGTGGTATTTTTTGCTCAAATTTTTTGTGTATGTTCCTCATCAAGTCTAGTTTATCCATACCAAATTTCAGAAAAAAATTCAATCGGGAAGGTCGTCAAATGATTTTTGCAAGTTAACTGGTCCGGAAAATACATATACCGGACCAGTTAACTTGGAAAAATCATTTGACGACCTTCCCGATTGAATTTTTTGCTGAAATTTGGTATGGATGAACTAGACTTGATGAAGAACATACACAAAAAATTTGAGCAAAAAATACCACCGGGAAGACCCCCAAAAGGAGGAGGCCGGACGGCGGTTCCTGTCAGGTATACCTGACAGGAACATTTGTGTTTATACATTATCATTCATAAACCCTACCACATGCATCGGCATTCTTCCTCATTGTCACTCCGCCATTTTTATTTACTGGCATCGGAAATCTCCTTCATTCCATTAGTGTCACTCGGATTGCTGTTTTCTATCCTTAGCTGGTCTCATTACAGGTACTAGCACGGTTCTTTTGGTAAACAATTCTCCAATCTTCTCTTGAACTATACTGGGCTGGTTCTGTTATTCATGATAATTGATTTTGGGGTTCATATATACGTATCTGTTGCAGTTAGAGTTTCAAATTAGGGTAGTTCCAATTGGCCTTGTTAATTTTCTTTCAGCTTGTACATCTGTTTCACATTCTGGTTTCCTTTCTTTATTGAAATCGTTTGGTGTATCATAGTTCCTGAGATGCAGCAGCAATATTTTGTACAGAGAGTTGACTTATAAGTTAATAAACATTGGACCTATTTTCAATTTAATCACAGACCATTCTGGCTGCTGCTCTTTTCAGTTTCAGGGAATTTTTTTCAGAATTTGAAGGCATAGTTACTGTGTATATAAATTATAATCGAGTATTATGGGATTCTATTAGCTAGAGTAAAAGGTTTACTGATTTCATTGAAAAGATAAAGCAATTTCCTTGGTGATCCTAGAAATCAGATTTTCTTTTGACCTCTTGTTATTTCTAAGCTATTCTTCTACGAATCAGCAGCAGTTTGTTTTATTAAAAGAAAGTGATTCCATTTTAATATTTTATTTAGAAAGGATTTGACTTCCAGATTTGAATACTTAGGATGTTTTTACTTGGACTGTAATTTGCTGGTCTGGTCTGGTCTGGTCTGATCTGGTCTGGTCTGGTCTGAACTGGTCTGGTCTGGTCTGGTAAGGTCTGGTTTCTTTGTATTTTTATAACTATCCCAGTCTGGTCTGGTCTGGTATGGTTTGAACTGGTCTGGTCTGGTCTGGACTGGTCTGGTCTGGTCTGGTCTGGGACAAATTACAGTCCAAGTAAAAACATCCTTAATTCGTGAACTACGAGACATTGATTTTAGTTTAATACAGATTTCAATGAATTGCAAACATTCAGATTTTAAAAAAAAACCATGACCATTACTCCTAATCTTTATGTGTGCAGAACGTTAAGAATTCTTATTTAATTAAAGTGCAACTTCCAGAAAGACCATATAAATCGGTGTTGAGTTCTATTCAAATATAACAAGACCTGATTACACTTTTATGCCTAATTATTAAAGATTTCAAAGAAGAGTTTACCGGAAGACGTTATCAAGGTGTCACACTTATCTGATTATTTTGAGTTCAGCTGTTAACAGGTAAGTTCACTACCACCTGTACATGTTTGTTCAACCAAATAAAAGAAAGAAGTCTGGTTGATTTTTAATAGATGATTTTAGTCTATATGCTATTATGTGAACCTGGTGAATTATTTGTTGAGTTATTTTATGTGTTGTATTAAGTTATGTTTATATCTGGCATAGTTAAGATTTTGTCAGTACTTTTATTTTCAGATTTAATGGTGTTTTTAATCAAACGTCACCACCATAAAAAGAACTAATATTTAAAGTGAAAGATCAGGTGATATGTACTCGGGAACAAGTTCCCTCAGATTATCGGTTTTCAGTTTCAGATAATCCGATATGTTTAGTGGGTCGCTCCCCTGAGCTGTCGGATTGGCGCCTTTGAGTACATATCACGGGCCCACAGTTAAAATAAGCCACAAAGAGTTTTACAGAATGTTTAATGAGATCTCTTCCAGAAAGATTTACAGAAGTTGTTTTTGAGATCTCTTTCAGAAAGTTTTACAGAGATGTTTAGAGAAAGAAATTTTGAGATCTCTCCAGCAATTTTGAGAAATTATTTTAAAAAATATTTTCCTTTTGAGATCTCCCTCAGAATGTATTTGAGAAGTTATGTGTTAGTTATTTGTTCAGTGCATGCTTATAGGCTAAATTTATCTATTGATAAATTGGCATAGACTTCTAGATATTTTTGTGGATCTATAGTGACTTACTAAGCGTAAAGCTTATCAGTTTTCTTTCTTCGCATGTACAGATACTAAAGGTAAGGCCAAGGCCTAGGAAGGTGATGAGAGAGTGGAACGCGTGCCAAGATGAGTTAACAGGGACGACCTTGGCGGCTTCCAGCTAGCTATTATTATATTTTAGTATTTCAGTTATTATAAGAAAGAGTTTATTATTATTACTTTATTTTATTTAAGGTTTGAAGTTTGAATAAATTCCTGGAACCAGGTGGTTATCACATTTGCTGGTGATAACTAGATTTTATTGAGTTTTAAATGTTAGTTATATTTTAGTTATGTTTGAGTTTTTATCAGGGTTATATCTTAAACAAACGGCCGTTATATTACAGTTAATTTTTAAAAGTAGTATGCTAGTGTAACGTTTCCTTTAACCCTGAGAGGGGCGTTACCCGACCGGGTGCATGTCAAAATCAAATAATCTTCCACGTTCTTGTGTTTCAGCACGTTGTTTTGTCTCGGGTCACATCTGACGTGACCGGGTCAAGTAGGGGACCCGACCGGATCCAATGATTTTCCAGGCACTTTCGCTTGTTAAATCGTACGCGACCGGGTGAGTATTCCTACCCGACCGGGTACGTGTCCCTGGGCAGCATTCCTCTTGTTTTTCCTCCTTTTTCTTGCCAAAAACTCTACCACTACTTTACAACTTATAAATGGAAGCTAAATACAATTACAAACCAAATAAAACAAATGTTTACAAACTAATAAAAATGGTAAACAATACACACAAATCAAACATAAAAATATACATTTATGCACTACTAATTAGTGCATATCACTCATATTTGATACTAATGAGGACGTAGTAACTAAAACCAAACAGTTCTTATCCTCTCGTTTTGAAATGAAAGACCTGAGAAAGGCAGATTTAATTCTTGGTGTTAAGTTGACAAGGACTGAGAGTGGCTTTTCCATATGTCAGTCTCATTATATTGAGAAGTTGCTGAAAAAATTTAACTATTTTGATGTAACACATGTGCAAACTCCCTATGATTCTAGCACTTCTTTGAAAAAGAATGAAGATTCTAGTGGCTATGTCTTTACTCTTGGTGCAAGGGCCGTCTCATGGAAGTCTGAAATCGTCGTCCACCACTATAGACTCACCGGAAATCACCATCTTTGAAGTTGAGGTCCATCGCTCATTGCTTGGGGCTGCAATCGCTCGCCAATTGCAGAAACTCGCTGGTGTGTCGCTTCTCAATGGTCACCGGAAGGTTGCTCGCAAGTTGTCCCAGTAGAACTCACCTCGCCACATGGATCTACGCCCGCCACCGGAGGTTGCTGCCACTCATGGTTGGAGGTCATCCGTCGTCATTGTAGATCGTTGTTACTTGGAACTGGTGTTTTCGGTTTTCTTTCGTCATGTTTTTTTTAAACCCGGTAGGTAAACCACCAAAATCGGTGGGGCAAACGCCGGGGAACATTTTCCGGGATTTTATTAATGATGAAATAAAATATACAAATGAAGAGGGGGACTAGACCAAAACCTCTTCAGAGAAGGCATTCCATCTCGAAAATACATCAAAATTAAGATAAATCAGTCAAAATTAAAACAAAAACATTGGGGAGCTAGACCTGACCCAACTTTTAATTAAAAACAAACAGTAACAGAATATAAACAACAACAGAAGAAATTAAATTCGAAAAGACGGAATACCAAAATAAGTCATCTAATATGCCTGTTTAGCACAAATGGGCAACTGCCAACTGATATGGGCCGACATAATAATTAACATCCTTAATATGGGCCGCAGCAAGGTGATGGGCTACCCAATTCCCCTCTCTCAGGGTGTGCCCGAACCCAACATGTTTCCTAAAAGAAACCTGTAGCATTTCCAAAATCCAATCCCTCCATCGCCTTGTTGACCTACATGCGATGTATTCCAGAGCCAAAGAGGAATCAGTTTCAACCAAGATATCCTCATAACCTTCCTTCGTCGCCCAGCCCACAAGATAGAAGACGGCCCTCAACTCTGCTTCAAGAACCGACCCAGCTTGCAGAGAGTAGCTAATGGCGCGGACCATCTTCCCATTTCGATCTCTGAGAATCGCTCCTCCAGAAACACTGTCAGATAAGTATCCGGCATCTTCATTAAGTTTCCAATTTTGCTTCGGCTTTTTCTTTCGTCACGTACTCATGTACAAGTGCGCAACAGAACAAAAGACCCAGATATAGCGTACGCACGATTGAACCGGGTGTACCATATAATTTGCAAACTTTGCACGTTTAATTGAAATAGTAAAAGTGCAATATTAATTGTATAAAAAATATACTAAAGGGAAAAGGTGCAAATAGGCCCATGTACTAACCATAAAAGGTCAAATAAGCCCTTATTTAGTAGGCTTTGTCCGGCCGTCGCCATTTGGAGTGGTTCCCGGTAGAATTTTTTGATGAAATTTTTTGAGCATCTTATTCATTAAGTCTAGTTTACTCATACCAAATTTCAGCTAAAACTTCAATCGGGAAGGCATTCAAATGAATTCTTGAAAATAGCTGCGCAGTTAGAAGCACAGTTATCTTCAAGAATTCATTTGAATACCTTCCCGATTGAACTTTTAGCTGAAATTTAGTATGAGTAAACAAGACTTAATGAATAAGATGCTCAAAAAATTTCATCAAAAAATTCTACCGGGAACCACTCCAGGCCGGACAGAACTTCCTAAATAAGGGCTTATTTGACCTTTTTTTAATTAGTACATTGGCCTATTTGCAGCTTTTCCCTATACTAAAATAATGTGATTACATTAACGTCACCCCAATTTTAGTGATCTAAAATAAATCTCGTAATCTTAAAGTCGAAATCCATAAGGATTAAGGATGTCTTATACTTCGTATATTACTCCCGTACTCCGTACATTTCTTTGGTAGCCTTGTAACTTTAACCAAATGAATGAAGTAATTTAACATTACCTTCACTTTTTATTTACAAGAAATTTAATAATGAAACTTAAAATTGCAACCGCCAATAATTGGGATTTTAATAAAGTAAACTCCATGCATCGTGCCAGTGGAACCTAAAAATCCTGAGACAAAAAAAACAACCCTGCAACCATTTAGAAAAAAAAAATGTAGTCCCAAAAACACAATCTGCAACCTTGCACTTCCGAAGCTAAAACAATCATAGAAAACTGTTATATTTGTAATCCTAATTCTGGTTATATTTATCCATGATGTTAAATGCTTAGATCGGAAGGTAAAGCAAGATTAAGAATAATTTAGGTCTGGCCCGTTTCAGCCTTTATATTTTGGTTTGGGCCTGTTTTAGAAAAGTCCAGTCCATTCTCTATATCTTTGACCCAGCTCTTTTGATTTGCATATAAGACGTCTCCTTCCTTCCTTCTGGAGATATCTTTTGCGTCATTTGAAACCCTAAGTCCAAAAAGGCAAGTCTGAGAGCTTGAGCGTTGAAGAGAGAGAAACCTCTGGTTTTTTCTTCTGTTCGTTCGATTCTACTTCACTTGAGGTCAAAGCAAGCTGAGAAAGGTTGGAGATCAATCGTGTGGAGAAGCTGGAACGCTGGGCTGTTGGTTCGATTCCAAGAATCTGATACACCTGGGTTTCTGAAGCTTTGTTCGGTTATTTCTATTCCTTTTACTATTTTAGTTGTATTGCTTGAGTTTTGGCTGATTCTTGTGTGTTGGATCTTATTGATTTCTGGTCTTGCTTTGCAACCATCTTTGTATTCAAACTTTTCTGAGCTAGTGGATTCTTGGGACCGGGTTTCCCCTGTTGAAACCCCGCAGAGTAGGATTTATCCGAACTGCGTCAACATATCGTGTGTTCATTTCTTTATTTTCTGTATTAGTTGAATAAGAGTTGTGAATCCGATATTTTGGCTGTGACTATCAATATAGTCTGTGAACAATTTTGGTATCAGAGCCTATACTTTAGATTCTTGAAACCCTAATCTAAATTTCTGATTTGATTGAGTTTTTTCAAGAAACCCTAATAATTTGGCTTGCTGTTCTTCGATCCTGAAACCCTAGCTCAAAACTGCTTGAATCTTGATTGCATTTCTGTTGTGCTTGTCTGATTGCATCCTGACTGTTCTTTAATCTGCAAACATGTCTGACACTGGTATCAAGATCCGTATCTTTGATGGTACCAGTGATTTTCCCATGTGGCAGCTTAAGATGAAAGCTCTCCTGATGAAGCAGAAATGCTTTGGAGTTGTCTCATCTGATACTGTTCCCAATGTGTCTAGTTCTGATCTGACTGAATTGAAAAATGCTGCATATTCTGAATTGATTATCCATCTATCTGATAATGTGGCTAGAAAATTTTCTACTATCACTGACCCTAAAGTGTTATGGGATACCCTTGAGTCTACTTACATGAAAAAATCTATGTCAAGAAAGATCTCTCTGCTCTGTAGACTGTTTACCTTTAAGATGAATGTTTCTGTGTCCTTATCTGAAAACTTGGATAATTTTCTGAAATTGACTCAAGAAATTGAAAAGGTAGATGAAAAGATAAAAGACACCCATCAAGCTGTTATCCTGTTAAATTCTTTACCACCCCAGTTTGATAATTTCAAGGATGTCATTCAGTACTCTAATGATGATCTCACCCCTGGTAAGATCACTGATGCTATACTTGAGAAGAATGAATCCCTGAAAGTTTTTAAGTCTAAATCTGATCCCTTTAATACTGATAAAGCTGAGACTAAGAATGAAGCCCTGGTTATTAAAGGGAAACCAAAGAACAAAAAGAACAATTCAAAGAAGAAGAATAAAACTGATAAAGATAATTCTGATAAGAAAACCTTCAAATGTCACTACTGTGGCATAGAAGGACATTTTGCAAGAGACTGTAGGAAAAAGAAAAGGGACAAACAAGGTGATAATAAGAATAATCCTAACCCTACTCCTAACACAGAATCTGCAAATGTTTTTCAACATGAATTGCTTGTTTGCTCTGGATCTTCTTTGAATGATGAATGGATTTTAGACTCTGGGTGTACATTACATGCCACTCCTAACAAGACCTATTTCTCTTCCCTGACTCAAAATGATGGGGGAAAGGTCATGTTAGGAGACAATACTGCCCTTGATATCAAAGGTGTTGGTAATGTTCCGCTGAGGATGTTTGATGGGGTTGTAAGGGTTATCCAAAATGTTAGGTGGGTTCCCTTCTTAAGAAGGAATCTTTTGTCTGAATCTGTTTTTGATGATCTGGGTTGCACTATTAATACACAGGATGGGTATAAGGTTGTTTCCAGAAATGGAAATGACCTTATTAAAGCTAATAAGAGTGGGGGACTTTACTTAGTTAATTGCTCCCCTGAACTTAATTTAGCTGTTTCTGTTAATAATAGCACCACCCAGAAACAAACTGAGATTTGGCACAACAGATTGGGTCACATTGGGAATGTGGGTTTGAATAAGCTGTTTAAAACTGGATTTTTTGACTTTAAACCTGTAAACCTTGGTTTTTGTGAAAATTGTACTTTTGGTAAGAAAACCAGACATTCTTTTGAACAATCTTCATATGTTGCTTCTGCTCCCTTGGAATTGGTTCATTCTGATTTATGGGGACCTTCCAAAGTGAGCACAACTGGAGGTAGGAAATACTTTCTATCTCTAGTTGACCACTTTTCCAGGAAGGTGTGGATTTTCTTACTAAAAACTAAGGATGAAACTTTTGAAAACTTCAAGAATTGGAAAACTTTGGTTGAGTCTCAATCCAATTTTAAACTGAAAGCTTTGAAAACTGATAATGGTCTTGAGTTCTGCAATAATGAATTCAATGGTTTTTGCAAAAATGAAGGGATCAAAAGATTACTTACTGTCCCTGGTACTCCTCAGCAGAATGGCACTGCTGAAAGGATGAACAGGACCTTGCTTGAAAAGGCAAGGTGTATGCTCATCAGTTCAGGACTTGGAAATTCCTTGTGGGGTGAAGCAGTGGTTACTGCCTCATACCTTGTTAACAGATCCCCATCTTCTGTGATCAGTTTTAAAACTCCACAGGAAATGTGGTCTGGTATTAAACCAAACATTTCTCATTTAAGGCCTTTTGGGTGTGCTGCTTATGCCCATGTTTCTCAAGGTAAACTACAACCTAGAGCCTTGAAATGTGTAATGTTAGGTTATCCTGAGGGAATTAAAGGCTATAAGCTACTGGTTTTACAACCAGGGGCTTATAAGTGTATTGTATCCAGAGATGTTACTTTCAATGAATGTGATTTTCCTTGTAAAAGAACTGATACTACTTCAAGTAAGTATGCAGGTGTTTCTGATGGAAATTTCTTTGAATCTTTGGATGATGATGACTCTTTGTATAAAGAGGATCATAGTGGAATTCTCCACAATGATGCAAATGATTATTCAGAGTCTGACACAGATCAACAAGATGACCTCAATGGAGGTGAACAGGTAGTGGTGAGTTCAGACTCACAAGGTAGTAACTCTGGTTCTCATACTACCTCTGTGCATGAACTAACTGATACTGCTGTCAATGATAATGTGCATGTTGATAATAATGACACTGATAATCATAGCACACCAAATTTGGCTGACTATCAACTGGTTAGAGATAGAGAACCTAGAACTATTATTCCTAATAAAAGATATTTCTCTAATCTTGCTGAATTTGTGATGATTGCTGCTGAAGTAGTTAAACAGTTAGCTCCTGATAACTTTGAACAAGCTATGATGTGCCCTAAGTCTAATGAGTGGATGAAAGCCATGCAGGAAGAACTTCAGTCCATGTACTTTAATAGGACCTGGACTTTAGTTCCTAAACCTAAAAATGCTAAAGTAATTGACTGTAGGTGGATTTTTAGGTTAAAAGATAGTCTTGATCCTACAGAACCTCCTAAGTTTAAAGCCAGGCTTGTAGCTAAAGGTTTTAGACAAAAGGAAGGTATTGACTACCAAGATATCTTTGCACCTGTTATAAAATTCAAAACTTTGAGATTAATGTTGGCTATAACCACTGTTTTTGACTGGGAGTTGGAGCAAATGGATGTTAAAACTGCTTTTTTGCATGGAGACTTAAAAGAAACCATTTTCATGTCTCAACCTCCTGGTTTTATCAACAAAGAGTTTCCTGAACATGTTTGTCTTCTTAAAAAATCAATCTATGGACTTAAACAGTCTCCCAGACAATGGAATTTGAAGTTTGATTCCTGCATGAGTGAACTTGGTTTTTTAAGGAGTAAATATGATACTTGTCTGTATTATAAACATGTTGGAACTGAAAATGTTGTTTATATCCTGCTGTATGTTGATGATATTCTCTTAATTGGTCCATGTAAAATGTTGATTGTTAGTGTTAAGGATGATCTGAAATTGCATTTTGACATGAAGGACATTGGTTCTGCCAAGAGGATTTTGGGAATAGATATCACTAGGGATAGATCTAATAGAAGCATGTTCTTATCTCAGGGTGATTACTTGAATAAAATCTTGGATAGGTTTAATATGAATAACTCTAAATCAACCCCCTTACCCTTAGGAGGGCATTTAGAACTCTCTAGAGATCCTTGTCCTATGACTTTAGAAGAATCTGAGAAAATGGCTAAGATCCCCTATGATGTTGCTTCTGGTTCTCTTATGTATGCCATGCTTTGTACTAGACCTGATCTCGCTTTTGCTGTTAGTATACTTAGCAGGTTTATGTCTGATCCTAGGATCAAACATTGGACTGCTATGAAATATACTCTAAGATATTTGTCTGGTACTAAAAACCTTGGTCTGAAATACTTTAATGCTGATTTGTGTGATCTGAAAGGTTTTGTTGATTCTGATTATGCTGGGTGTAAAGACTCAAGAAAATCAACCACTTCTTGGTTCTTTACTTGGGCTGGTAACTGTATATCTTGGAAATCTCAATTGCAATCTGTAGTAGCTCTGTCTACTACAGAGGCTGAATATATTGCAGCCACTGAGGCTATCAAAGAAGCAAAATGGTTAAAAGGTATTCTGGGTGAGGTATTGGGGACAAGCATTGTTCCTACCGTCTTCTCTGATAGTCAAAGTGCTATATATTTGTGCAAAGACCCTATGTATCATGAAAAAACTAAACACATAGATGTTAGATTTCATTACATTAGGGATGAGATTTCTAAAGGCAACATAAAAATTGATAAGATTACTGGAGATGTTAATCCTGCTGATTTTGGTACTAAAATTGTTCCTGTTGCTAAGTTTTTGTTTTGCAGGCAGTTCTTCAAAGTCTTTGAAGTACCTTGAACATGAGGGTACTTGTTGGGTTAATGATGAAAGGGTATAATCTGGTCTCTTGAATCCTGATACTAGCAATGATGATAAAAGCTCTAATGAGCTGTGCTGCACCAGAATTGGTCTTAGGAGGGCAAATTGTTATATTTGTAATCCTAATTCTGGTTATATTTATCCATGATGTTAAATGCTTAGATCGGAAGGTAAAGCAAGATTAAGAATAATTTAGGTCTGGCCCGTTTCAGCCTTTATATTTTGGTTTGGGCCTGTTTTAGAAAAGTCCAGTCCATTCTCTATATCTTTGACCCAGCTCTTTTGATTTGCATATAAGACGTCTCCTTCCTTCCTTCTGGAGATATCTTTTGCGTCATTTGAAACCCTAAGTCCAAAAAGGCAAGTCTGAGAGCTTGAGCGTTGAAGAGAGAGAAACCTCTGGTTTTTTCTTCTGTTCGTTCGATTCTACTTCACTTGAGGTCAAAGCAAGCTGAGAAAGGTTGGAGATCAATCGTGTGGAGAAGCTGGAACGCTGGGCTGTTGGTTCGATTCCAAGAATCTGATACACCTGGGTTTCTGAAGCTTTGTTCGGTTATTTCTATTCCTTTTACTATTTTAGTTGTATTGCTTGAGTTTTGGCTGATTCTTGTGTGTTGGATCTTATTGATTTCTGGTCTTGCTTTGCAACCATCTTTGTATTCAAACTTTTCTGAGCTAGTGGATTCTTGGGACCGGGTTTCCCCTGTTGAAACCCCGCAGAGTAGGATTTATCCGAACTGCGTCAACATATCGTGTGTTCATTTCTTTATTTTCTGTATTAGTTGAATAAGAGTTGTGAATCCGATATTTTGGCTGTGACTATCAATATAGTCTGTGAACAAAAACCTCCCAATCTGCCCAAAGTCCCAAACCATCCTCTCAATCTCGAAATAAGCCGTCCTAAATTAATTAAATACGAGCATCATAAATGTTGGATAACATTCCACAAATAGAAAGCTTTGTAACAATTGAAATCCGAACAAAATCGCAATATTCATAACCATCAGTTCAACACTTCAACCTCGAGTCCTCGACTGAATATTACCCGGTTAAGGTTCCACACTTCCACAGTTCCACTTTTGGAAGGCCCATCCGAGCCCACATTAATTTTGGAGTATAATTCAATTCATTGTTTAGCGGATAGAGAAATCCCATAAGGGAATTACACAAAAAGCTTAAATTTCCCATAAAATTAAATATGTCGTTAGTCCCTGCAAATATAATACATTTTGTTTTACATCTCTGCAAAATTATTTTTTTGTTTTTCGTCCCTGCAATTTAGGTTGGTTTGCTTTTTAGTCCATCATTGATGATAACAACCTCTGACCTCAAAATAACTCTGATTAATAGATCTCCCCTAATTCTTTGTCATGTTACTAAAAAGTATTTAGTTTTATGTTTTAGAAGGTTTTTAATATATAATTTTAAAATGTGAATACTTAGTTTTACACTGTTTTAACTTTCTTATTAACCTCAAAAAAATTATAAAAGGAAGTATTTAAATATTTCTAGTAGATTTATGTAACTGACAATAACTTTTTTTTGTAAGTAGAGTAGTTTCAGAATCAGAAATGGACTAAAAACAAAACAGTGCATATTGCTAAGGATGGCAATGGGGGCGGGGGGCCGTGGGGAACCGCCCCGTTGGGGGAGGATGGGGTGGGGTTTGGGGCGGGGCGGGGCGGGGATGGGGATGGGTGAGATATTTATCCCCCGCTAAAATATGGGGCGGGGACGGGGATTGCTACACCCGCCCCGTTCCCGCCTCGTCCCCGTTATAAATATAAACTCAAAATATATAATACACACACACATATATAAATAATGTATAAACATATTTAATTAAATTATATGTTTATATAACAAACACATACATATACATATACATATAGATATATATAAATGTATGTGTTTAGTCACGGTTAATGAACTAATGCATATTATTATATTAGAATATTAATACGAGTACATAATGACTGAAAATACTTATCATAAATGTTAGATGTGTTTTAAAAGTGAGAAAGTGAGGAAATAGCACACACATATGCATATATATGTACAAGATAAATAATTAATTGTATTTTAATTGATGAGAAATCTGTAAAGACATACAACTTGATAATATGTTTACTTACATTTTTACTTTTATTATCTTCACATAATTTATTCAATTAAAGAATTATTAAAAATTGGCGGAATTAACTTTTATTAAACACAATATTATCTAGTTTGCCTCTTTTAGTGCTACATATATATTTATCTATAAAATAGGTTAAAAATATGCAAATAATACAATAATATCCAAGACTTAGTCCCAAAAGATATTGGGGTCGGCCTAGTTGTAGCGATATTCATATTTCGATTCATGTAATGTGATATGACTAAGTGATACTGTTGGCTGTCACGCGCCTACCACATCACCCTTCTCCTCCTTTATCCTGGCTTGGAACAGACATGATACCAAAAAATGATCTCATGGCGGAGTTTAAAAAAGCATATTTTAAAAAATATGCAAATAACACAAAATAAAATTTATATGGGGGCACCCGTGGGGGACAATGGGGTGGGGTGGGGATGGGGCGGGTCGGGGAGTAGCGGGGGATGGGGTGGGGGTGGGGGGACTTTTTAGACATGGGGCGGGGGATGGGGGAGTGAACCCCCGCCCCAAACCCGCCCCGTTGCCATCCCTACATATTGCAGGGATGAAGAACAAGAAAAATATTTTGCAGGAACTTAAAACAAATTGTGTTATATTTGTAGTTTTGCACGGATTAAAAACATATTTAAGCCTAAAATTTAATAGGTAACATTGCTCAAGATTTAGAGGTCGAAACTTGGTCGTACTGAGCAGCACGTACTACATACAAATGACTTCAAAAAGTCATGTATACTATTACAAAATATTACTCCCTCCGTAACATATATATGTTCCCATTTGAAAAGTAGGTAGATTAAGAATAGTGAAAGGGGATATAAATTATTGAGGGTATGATGGGAAGATAGTGAAATAATGTGTTGGAATGAAGAATAAATCCAAAAAAAGTATGTGTAATAGTATATTATTTTTAAAATTATTGAGGGTATGAATGGAAGATTATGAAATGCGAAGATATGAATGTTACATCCAAAAAAGGAAAGTGGGAAGATATAAATGTTACGGAGGAAGTACGTAATTAAAATAGACTACAATTCTAATTAAGTTTTTCAGTGTAAAAGATATCAGCTTTTGAAGAAGCTCGAAGGAAGTGTAAAAGCTCCTGTTTGTTTTTTAACTCCGTGTTGGAGCAAAATGTTATTCTTTGAGATATGGAAATCCTCTCAAGCATGGGAAAGCACGCAAGAAGCCACTTGAAGAGTAGCATTTCCGGCAATGACCCTCTAAATGCACAAGAAAGATTCAATGTATGAACATTTTGGCATATTCCGGCCACAATAAACTCTGAATGCTCCAACGCGTTTGTAGTAGTTGGCACAACGTTGTTCTAAAAACATTTATAAAAAATGAGAATGAACATCAATAAGGGGGATAGTGACACGAATAATTTATTTAGGGTATGTTTGGCAAATGGCTTATCAGACGGCTTTTAGCTTGTCTGACCCATTTCAGCTGTTTGATTGCTCAAAGAAGCTAATAATGATGTTTGGTAAATGACTTTTAAAATTAGCTTGTTGAGTTTGAAAAGCTGAAAAAATGGATTGTTGAAGAAGCTAAGGGAAGCAGCTTCTTCATTCGGCTGGTTCAATTTACATTCTATCAACCATTTCGAAACAACCAATTTTACCAAACAATTATCTATAATCAGCTAACATAACCAGCCGGTCAAAACAGCTAACACAACCAGCTGTTAGGAAACAGCTGACACAACCGACTAACAACAACAGCTAATAGCCATTTGCCAAACATTCCCTTAATTTAATTCAATAACGATTCTCCATGACACCGAAGATTAGCGACTTACAAATAGTTGTATACCAAGTTTATACAGCTTTGGGCAAATTCGCAACAAATTAATGAAGGCAGAAATCTCATCCTCTTCAGCACACAAACGCAGCTTGAGTTGGCCCACATTCAGTGTAGTTCCTTGTTTACCCAATCTAGTTAATTCTTTAATAATATCCTAGAAAAAAATCGAACAAGAACAAGCTAATTTACTAGAAGATATAATAAACAAATAGCAATCCAAAAGGAAAGTAGAAGATGTGTGTCTAACATACCTTGGCAGAACAATGGTAGAGATGAAGATAGCAGATCGGTTTCAAGTCCAAGGTAAATGGAAGAACTCCATGAAAATTAGCACCAAAAAATTTTAAACTTCTAAGTTTCGGGGCTGTTAGCCGCTATTATTATGCATGCGGTATTATCCCTCATGCATACGTTATTATCATCACACGGTCTACTAATATAAATATTCTAATATATTCGTTTGTATATATCTAATATATTAGCCACTTGTATTGTTACCGATCCCTTCGTATTAGGTAGCTCCAACAGTAATGTATCTAGACTTATTTATGTACGTATGATGTATTAGATAGAAGTTTGTATCAGATAGGATTGCTTTGTAATCAGCCTATTAATAGGCACGATCAATACAATTTGGATCACGGTGAATTCATTCTTCTAACTTGGTATCAGTAGTTGTTCTCTCCTTCAATGGCTACTACCAAAGCTTCCGCCTTTCACCCCGCTTTAGCAATCACCAACATTAAAAATTTCATACCTATTACTCTCGATATGGAGAACGTTGAGTATGCATCATGGGCGGAATTGTTTAAAATCACCGCCCGTGCATATCAAGTTCTCGATCATATTATCCCATCCACCGCCACTACCACCTCTACCACTTCATCTACTACCTCTACTCCTTCCCCCGAAGAACTCATTGCCCAGGCCGCCGCCAAAGCCTAAGCCGCCGCCCTTTGGACTCGCTTGGATGCAGTCGTGCTCCAATGGATATATGGTACGATCTCTCACGATCTTCTCCATACCATCCTTGAACCGGACTCCACTGCTCAGGAGGCGTGGGAACGCATCACGGATATCTTTCTCGACAACAAGCACTCTCGTGCTGTACATTTGGAAAACCTCTTCTCCAACACCCGTCTGGAAAATTTTCCAAATGTTCTGGCCTACTGCCGCACCCTCAAAACCTTGGCAACTCAATTGCAAAACGTGGGTTCTCCGGTTACTAATGAACGCCTGGTGCTTCGTTTGGTCAGCGGCCTTCCCGCCCAATACGACACCGTGGCCTCTTTCATTCAGCAGACTGTTCCACTCCCTACGTTTCAGAATGCCCGTTCCATGATCCTCCTGGACGAGACCCGGAAGACACAACAACTCGGCACACCTTCTGCCAGCGCCCTCCTACATAGTTCCACATCTCCACCTGCTGCTCGCTCCAGCCCACCTAACCGCGGAGGACGTTCTGCCAAGCGCGGTCGTGGCGGTCGTGGTGCACCTCGGCCCGACATCCCTCCTAACGCTTGGACGTCACCACCACCATGGGCTTACTGGATGCCGCCTTCCCCTTGGGCCATGCCGCCATGTCCCTACCCATCTGCTCCTTGGGTTGCTCCCTCCTCTTCTCGCCCAAATCCTGGTGCCGGCATACTTGGTGCTCGTCCACCACAGGCGCATCTTTCAGGACCAGCCCCTACTCTCACGGATGTCAATGCTGCAATGCACACCATGACACTCACGCCTCCGGATAGCAATTGGTATATGGACACGGGGGCGACGTCCCATATGACGTCTGACACAGGTACTCTCACATCTCTTTCTCAATTAGGTACTAAACAATTTATTGTAGTTGGCAATGGTAACACCATACCTATTTCGGGCCTTGGCACGACTACCCTACCCCCCCCCCCCTCATCCCCCACTCCAACTTCAAAATGTCCTTCACGCCCCATCCATTATAAAAAATCTCATTTCAGTACGTCGTTTTTCTACTGATAATTCTGTTTCCGTTGAATTTGACCCTGTTGGTTTTTCTGTGAAGGATCTCCACACGGGCAGCCTACTCATGAGATGTAATAGTTTGGGTGATCTCTACCCTCTTCAGCCCACCATTTCCAGATTTTCTCCTTCAGCTTTCCTCACCACCTCGGCGACTACTTGGCACCACAGGCTGGGACATCCCGGGGATCCCGTTTTTAGTTTTCTTAGAACAAATAATACTATCCATTGTACTCGTTTAAATAAATCACTCTGTCATTCATGTGAACTTGGCAAACATACCAAATTGCCATTTCCCCCCTCCCTCTCCTTTACTAGTTATCCATTTGAAATAATACACAGTGATTTATGGACATCTCCTGTTCTTAGTTCTACTGGTCATCGATACTATTTAATTTTTGTTGATGATTATACTAAATTTGTCTGGGTATTTCCCTTAACTGCTAAGTCACAAGCTTTCTCCACATTTGTTAATTTTCATGCGTATGTTCACACTCAATTTGAACGAAGCATTAAAACTTTTCAATGTGACAACGGGAAAGAATTTGCCAATTCTGCTTTTCGTGCTATGCCCAACAACATGGTATTCATTTCCGTTTTTCTTGCCCTTATACCTCGGCACAAAATGGCACGGCCGAACGATATATACGGACCATCAATAATATTGCACGGACTATCTTACTTCATGCGTCTGTTCCCGCCCGTTTCTGGCCTCACGCCATCCATATGGCTGCCTACCTACATAATATCCTCCCTAGTAAACCCCTTCGATACCTCTCTCCTACTCACCTTCTTTATCACAAAACCCCAACCTATGATCATCTTCGGATATTCGGTTGTCTATGTTTCCCTCACCACCCTTCCGTTACCACACATAAACTTCAGGCACGTTCTACTCCATGTGTTTTCCTCGGTTACCCCCTTAATCACAAAGGGTATACCTGCCTTGATCTCCGCACCAACCAAATTATAATTTCCCGTCACGTTACATTTGACGAAAATGTTCTGCCATTTACAATTTCTACGTCCAAAGATGCTCCTTCCTATAATTTTTTGGATGACCCCAACCCCATGCTACGCCTACTGCCTTTTTTATCCGAACCAAGCTCCACCCCGGTTCCCACTAATTTCCCCCCAACCAGACAACTACACCCCACACAACACCTCCTGCCAGCCCATCTCCTGGCACGGTCAGTAGCCTTATCCCTTCCCCACCTCAAGCTAATACCCCACCACATAATAATTCCCCACCTCACACCAATATCCCTCCACCTCCTCCTATTACACATCCACGTCCAGTACACATGCCATGCAACCCTCCACTTTCATCCTCATCCCATCCCATGCAGACGAGGAGTCGTACTGGAACCCTCAAACTGAAACATATATTTAATCTCGCTGCCTCTATTACTCCCTCTCCCTTACCCCGTTCCCCTATCACTGCCCTTCAGGACCCGAATTGGAAGGCCGCTATGGATGATGAGTTTAGTGCTTTAATTAAGAATGAGACGTGGGAGTTAGTTCCCCGTCCTCCTAACGCTAATATTATCCGTTGCATGTGGTTGTTTAAACATAAATACAGGTCTGATGGTATGTTGGAACGTCAAAAAGCTCGACTCGTTGTCAATGGTAACTCTCAACAAATTGGTGTTGATTGTGATGAAACTTTCAGTCCGGTTGTTAAACCGGCCACTATTCGGCTTGTTCTCACCATTGCTCTCTCTCGGTCTTGGGCCCTTCACCAACTTGATGTTAAAAACGCCTTCTTACACGGTCATTTGGAGGAAACTGTGTTTATGCATCAACCGCCGGGCTACCGCGATCGCACACGCCCTCATCATGTTTGCCATTTGAAAAAATCCCTATATGGGCTCAAACAGGCCCCACGGGTCTGGTATCATCGGTTTGCTACTCATCTTGCTCAGATCGGATTCTCTCACAGTACATGTGATCATTCTCTCTTCACATTTCATCAAGGCCACGACACCGCATATATTCTCCTCTACGTGGACGATATAATTCTTACGGCCTCTTCTGATCATCTCCGGCAGTCTATTATTTCGAAGTTGGCCGCCGAATTTTCTATGACCGACCTTGGTCCCTTAACGTACTTCTTGGGTATCTCTGTTGCTCGTCACTCCTCCAGCCTGTTCTTATCTCAGTCCGCTTATGTAAGGGACATTCTGAGGCGCGCCGGTATGACCGATTGCAAACCCGTCAACACCCCCGTCGACTCTCATGCCAAGCTTAGTGCTTCTGCCGGGCTACCTGTTGAGAATCCCACCCTATATCGCAGCCTCGCCGGAGCTCTCCAGTATCTTACCTTTACCCGGCCCGACATCTCTTATGCCGTTCAGCAACTCTGCTTGTTCATGCACGATCCCAGGGAACCACACTTTCATGCTTTAAAAAGGGTGCTACGTTACATTCAAGGCACTACACAGTTTGGCCTACACCTTTCCTCCTCATCTCTTACGGACCTGGTTGCCTACACGGATGCGGATTGGGGTGGGTGTCCTGACACCCGGCGATCTACTTCCGGTTACTGTGTATTTTTGGGTGACAACCTTATTTCGTGGTCCTCCAAACGTCAACCTACTTTATCCCGCTCAAGTGCCGAGGCAGAATATCGTGGAGTAGCTAATGTTGTAGCGGAAACATGTTGGCTCCGCAACTTATTACTTGAGTTACGTTGTCCTCTTAACAAAGCTACACTAGTATATTGTGACAACATCAGCTCTGTTTATATGACTGGGAATCCGGTTCACCATCAGCGCACCAAACACATTGAAATGGATATTCATTTTGTCCGGGAAAAGGTCGCTCGTGGTGATATTCGTGTCCTTCATATTCCATCCCGCCGTCAATTTGCTGATATTTTTACAAAGGGTCTGCCTCGAATTTTATTTGATGAATTCCGGTCCAGTCTCAACGTTTGTCTCTCTCCCGTTTCGACTGCGGGGGCGTGTTAGCCGCTATTATTATGCATGCGGTATTATCCCTCATGCATACGTTATTATCATCACACGGTCTACTAATATAAATATTCTAATATATTCGTTTGTATATATCTAATATATTAGCCACTTGTATTGTTACCGATCCCTTCGTATTAGGTAGCTCCAACAGTAATGTACCTAGACTTATTTATGTATGTATGATGTATTAGATAGAAGTTTGTATCAGATAGGATTGCTTTGTAATCAGCCTATTAATAGGCACGATCAATACAATTTGGATCACGGTGAATTCATTCTTCTAACTGGGGCAGTAATGTTGAAATCAGATATGTTTTCACACTCGAGAC